TGAGCCCTGCCACATGCACAATGGAGGACCTCCTTATAGCAACATCAGAGACACTCCAAGTGGCTAGCTACTGGTCAAAGGATATTTAATATAATGCCAAGTTTTTAAACTTTGTGTTTTTAAAATATATCACAACTGTACCCTTGGTTCACTTCTGATACAATAAATAAATAAGTGAGGCAGGGTCATCCTTGATAGTACTTGGATGGGAGACTGTTAATGAATGCCAGGAGCTGTAGGCTATATTTACGAGGGAGGAAATGGGAAACTACATCTGAATTTTCCTTGATTAAGAAACTTTTGTGAAATTCATGAGGTTGCCATAAGTTAACAAGCAACTTGAAGGCACATGAAAGCACATAGGGCTATATGTACTATTACCTGCAATGGCAGGTTTTCTAACCATATAGCTCATATGGTTTCCTTGTGCTTTTCCAGCACATGCACTCTGGCTCTGATTAGTATCTTGCTTTCTCTCCTTCCTACACCAAAGAATGTCATGTACCTAATTACTTATCTATCATTCATATATTTTCCCAAGTGTCCACTTCTCTGTAAGATGTATTCTCTCTTCTGTTTCTCAACCTCTTTTTTGATTCTGCTGCTCAAGGCCTCATTAGATTATCTATCCAATTTGGATTGGAGGCCCCTTAGAGTAAGAATCTAGTGTTTGGTCTAATGCATAATATTTCATCTTGTAGCTAGATGTGTCCACTGGGACAGCATTAAATAGGAGTAGTATATTATTAAAAGAAAGCATCTGGCAATTTCTGACACCTGGGTTCTGTTCCACTGTGGTATCAACAATTTACAGGAAAGTACCACTAATCTGTTTTTGACTCTTAAGTAAGTGCACAGTTACATGGGATATTATTCACCCATCGATGAGCACCATTTAAGACTTTATATATAAAACCCAGTAGTTCAAACTGAGGTCAGAAACAACTGGAAGGCAGTGCAATGATACATGGTCCTGATAGTGCACATCAAATATATTATCTGCTGCACTTTGATTAATCAGTACCTTCCAAGTACTTTTCAAGAGCAGCCCCATATAGGCTGTATTACCGTAGTCCAACACGGAGGTAATTAAATCATGCTGGATACCTCCCACAAAGCCGTGTGTAGCATGATTACCACCCAATTTAATTCTCAAGTCATAATATCAATGTGGATCATAGTTATTCTATACTAATCAGGTTATTTCCATCCTGGCAAGCAATAATTGTCCAAATGTCTGATCACCATCTCACAAAGCAGTTACTTAACTCTCAACTTAAGAAAGGAAAACAGAATGTCGGTGGACAGCAAAAGAGATTTAAAGATGGGCTTAAAGTTTACCTTAAAAATGTGTTATAAACACAGAGAATTTAAGTCTTGGTACTCAAGCACTGTAATTGAAGGTCAGATGCTGCCAACAGTGCTATGGGCTTTGAAGGGGCATGAATATAAGGCAAAGGGGGAAAATGTGCCAAAAGGAAGGTGCATAAAGCAAAACCTTAGCATGATTGCTTTAATAAATAATAATGATAATAATACACTTTATTTATATTCCACCCTTCTCCCCTTGGTGACAGAGCAGATTACAGCATTTACATACATAGGCAAACATTCAATGCCGTTACAATCATATACAATAGGACAGACAAACACAAACAAAGGCAGAGGCTTCTCCTTTCATTTCTGGCTTCTGGAGGTGGTACTCATCTCTGGCTCTGAGGAGGTGCTTTCTTCTCCATTTTCAAGCTGAGGGGCCTGCGTTCTTACCTCCTGGTTGTGTGGCCAACAAGATTGTTTGGAGAGTCTCTTTGCCTTTACCCGCTGAAGTGGTACCTATTTATCTACTCAAATTTGCATGTTTTCGAACTGCTAGGTTGACAGGAACTGGAGCTTACAGACAGGAACTTGCCCCATCTTGCAGATTTGAACTTCAGATCAGCAGTTCAGCCAACCTTTAGGTCAGCAGTTCAGTAATGCAAGGGTTTAACTCATTGTGTCACCATGGCTTTCCATATATATCCTCAATGTGAAAGACCATGTGGAACAAAAACAGGTCTTCGCAGTTGTTTATGGAGCTACTGCCAAGACTCTATCTCTGGAAGACAATCATACTCTGCAGTGATTGATAACCTACCATTGTCTTGTGGGGTTCCTCAGGGCTCAATATTGTCTCCCATGTTGTTTAACATCTACATGAAGCCGCTGGGGGAGATCATCCAGAGTTTCGGGGTACGGTGTCATCTGTACGCGGATGATGTCCAACTCTGTCACTCCTTTCCACCTGCTACTAAGGAGGCTGTCCAGGTCCTGAACCGGTGCTTGGCCGCTGTGACGGTCTGGATGAGGGCGAACAAATTGAAATTGAATCCAGACAAGACAGAGGTACTCCTGGTCAGTCGTAAGGCCGAACAGGGCATAGGGTTACAGCCTGTGTTGGATGGGGTTACACTCCCCCTGAAGACGCAGGTTCGCAGCTTGGGAGTGATCCTGGACTCATCGCTGAGCCTGGAACCCCAGGTTTCGGCGGTGACCAGGGGAGCATTTGCACAGCTAAAGCTTGTGCGCCAGCTGTGCCCGTACCTTGGGAAGTCTGACTTGGCCACGGTAGTCCATGCTCTGGTTACATCCCGTTTAGACTACTGCAACGCTCTCTATGTGGGGTTGCCTTTGAAGACAGCTCGGAAGCTCCAACTAGTCCAACGCTCGGCAGCCATGATTTTAACAGGAGCGGAGCGCAGGGAGCATACAACCCCCCTGTTGCGCCAACTCCACTGGCTACCGATCTGCTACCGGGCTGAATTCAAAGTGCTGGCGTTGGCCTTTAAAGCCCTAAACGGTTCCGGCCCAAGCTACCTATCCGACCGCATCTCTGCCTATGAACCCACCAGGACTTTGAGATCTTCCGGGGAGACCCTGCTCTCGATCCCGCCTGCTTCTCAAGCTCGGCTGGCGGGGATGAGAGATAGGGTCTTCTCGGTGGTGGCTCCTCGGCTGTGGAACGCCCTTCCTACGGACATTAGACTAGCACCATCTCTAATGGTATTCCGCAAAAAGGTGAAGACCTGGATGTTTGTGCAGGCGTTTGAGTAATTTAGTGCAATCTGGTAATGGAATATAGGAATGGAACAATGGACGACGAACCTGGACTACGCTTGGATGATGAGAAGATTGGGTACGGTTGTTTTTCGTAATAATTGTGCATTGTAATTGCTTATTGTTATGGATAATGTGTTAAGTCAATTGTTATATGTTGCATGGAACCACTGCTGTTTCTACTGTTTTTACTGTTTGTGAACCGCTGTGAGTCGCCTTCAGGCTTGAGATACAGCGGTATATAAGCAAAGTAAATAAATAATAAATAAATAAATACGATGATGCTGTAATGGAGGATCAGGTTCCCATGCAAAAATTTCAATTCTAAAATGATTGTTTTTGCAAGTATGTGTTCTCAGATATCTCTAGGTGAGTCACACTGTGCGTGTCTCATCTACATGCCCACATTATGTATGCCAAATGCAACCATTTGAGAGCCATGTAAAGTTTTTTTCTTGTAATCTGTCCTAAACATATTGTGAACAGATGGTGCTATCTGCAGTTCATCTTGACTGGTGCCCCTGATTAGGACTCCATTGTTGTGCTAATGCCCCTACAAAGTCAGGAGTATAACTGGATTTTTATAAAATAAGGCTTAAGAGAAAAATAGAGTCAAGCATCATTTTCAGAGATGGGAGATTTTAAATATGTCCTATCTCTGCAAATCAATAGTTGCCCTGTTCTTTCAATGGAAAGATATTTTTATTATTCAGCAAAAACTCAGAAACTTCTTCTTCTTCTTCTTCTTCTTCTTCTTCTTCTTCTTCTTCTTCTTCTTCTTATTATTATTATTATTAATAATAATAATAATATCTCACTTCTCTCCCCAAAAGTACTCAGGGTAGCTCACAATAGAAAAAAATACAGTATACATAATAATATTTGACCAATTAAGGCAAACAGTATTTATCAACTGACAAATCAGCAAATCATAATATAAAACAGTAATAAACATATTAATTAAAGAACAAAAACATCAAAATAAATATAAACTGGATTATGATTAAAACATGTTTTACACCAGAGGCAAAACCAGGTCCTATTAATAAAACAGTTAAAATCCAGTTAGTATTAGGATCAATTAAAAACTTTATCACTTAAGTTGTAGTGAACCATTTTCAAAAGCCTGCTTCCACATCCATACTTTTAGTTACTTTCTAAAGGTCATTAGAGTGGGAGCCAGTCTGATCTCTCTTGTCCCCACCAGCTGCGCCTGTAAGGGCAGTGGGACCATGAGTTGGGCCTCCTCAGCAGTACTTAGAGCCCGAGTAGGTTCATAGAGATGTGTTCACGCAAATAAGCTGGACCTGAACCATAAATGCTTTGGAGGTAATAACCTGCACTTTGAATTGGGCCCAGAAACACATGGACAGCCACTGGAGCTGCTTTAACAGGGGAGTAGTATGCTCCCTGTAGTCAGCTCCTGCTGGTAATCTGGCCACCGTTCTTTGCACTAGTTGCAATTTTTGAGTCATCTTCAAAGGCAGCCCCACATAGAGTGCATTGCATTAATCCATTCAAGATGTAACCAAAATGTGGACCACTGTGGCCAGATCAGACTCTTTGAGGTACAAGTGCAGTTGGAGCACAAGCTTTAATTGTGTAAAGGATTATTGGGGCATTTGCCCAAGACCTTTGGAAGGTGTCAAGCTAGAGAGTGCCGTTTTCTTCTCCCAGCCACCGCCAACACCTGAGCTTCAAGAGTCAGCGCCGAGTCCAGGAGGACACCCAAGCTGCGGGGGAGTGTAACCCCATCGAGCACAGGTTGCCACCCTATACCCCAATCTACCCCCCAGCTGATCAAGAGGACCTCTATCTTGTCAGGATTAAGTTCCAGTTTATTAGCCCTCACCCAGCCTTCAGGACCTGGGCAGCTTCCTTGGCTTTAGGTGGAAATGAGTAATAGGTCTAGATAATCAGTTTCATTCAGGAATCCCTGAAGTTGAGTGATGACCACGTGCTCTAGAACCTTGTCCAAAAAAGGGGAGGTTGGAAATGGGCCGATAGTTGTTAAACACCAAAGGATCAAGGGACTGTTTTTTGAAAACTGGTTTTAGAACTGCTGTTTAAAAGCAGGTTGGGATTTTGCCCTGTTCCAATGAGGCACTGACAGTCCTCAAGATCCATTCAACCTACTCCCTCTGGCTTGTTTAATAAGCCAGGAAGGGCAAGGGTCCAGACTCCATGTGGTCTCCCTCACTGTTTCAAGTATCTTGTCCATGTCATCAAGCTGAACAAACTGAAATGAGTCTATTAAAATAGGACAAGCAAGTGCCCTGGATACATCTACTGGTAGTGCAACAATGCTGGTGTCCAAGTTGGAGTGGATCTGAGTGACTTTGTCTGCAAAGTGGTGTGCGAAATCGCCACACTGAGCCACCGGGTGGTCAGGGGTCCCATCCTGAGCATCAGGGTGAAGGAGCCCTCTGACCACACACAACAGGTCTGCTAGCCTATTAGTTGGAGATGTAATGCAGGCAGTCCAGTAAGTTAAAAAAATGCTTTGCTTTTGTAGAGAGGTAATGATAGATAATGGAAATACATTATACACTATCCATGTTTTTTTTTCCAAGTGACATTTCTTGAAGGATATTAATCAGTCACCAGGAAGATAACTGATTATTGTAGTTTATTTTCATAGGGTTAAACATTACCTTACATTTGCTAACATTTCTCCTTTGTCACCTTTGCTTTTGCCCATCCTTTCTCCTCTTCTCTTCTCTCCCATTGTTAATTATCAACTTTTAAATTATTAACTTTTGGGCATGCTGGCCTTAGTTCTTCATTTGTGCTGTAAATGTGTATCTGTAACTCTTTTGTAATGATTCTCATTATCATACTTACACAATTTAATTAAAAATGGGAATGGTAAAATCTTGGTGGAAAAGCATTCCTTCACTGTCAGCACTTCTTTCTTCTACTTCCTGCATATAAAATAATGAGTAGTTAGTCATATTGATTCCATTATTACTGTCATAAATTGTTTATGGCTGTGGCCTAAGCTACAGATGTTGACAGCCAAAAGGCACTATCAAAAGATTCATCTTGACAAAGCCAAAAAGGCTTGAGAAGTTCCCAAACTGCAGAGATCTGCTGGCAGCACCAATAGTTCCAATACAATAAACCGCAAAATCATTTTCCAATATTTATGCACCCTATGATCTTAACTCCTACAACTCAGATTATATCTTAAACTCTCACTTCTGTGTCTCTCCAGATTTAAACTAAAAATAACTATTTCTTTTTTTCTTTCCCATGTGACGTTATCGGTTTCCATAAGCAAGTGAGACAGATTTCTAATAATTAAAAATATGGGTATCTTCTCTTGAACTTGATTTATGCAGAATTTAGCTTTCTCAGGGCGCTTCCACACATACCTAAAATGTGTGCTGAAATGGGTTAAAATAGTCCACTTTGGTTCTAGTACCCACCTCATCCCACAGCCCTGGAATTTCCCTCTCCGGGTGGTTACTTGCTATCCAAATTGAAATCAGGATGGCATGAAGCCACTTGAAAGCCCCTGATTTACCCCGTAAAACTTACTGAAAAGGCCCATGGCAGCCATAAAGCCTCTCCTCATGTCCTCATGTCGTGAGAAAATGATGTCTGAGGAGATGGGAAGGGTGAGGAGGAAAATCCCTCCCCCGGGGTCTTCTCAGGGTGGGTGCCCTCCTACACTGTTGGGAGTCAGTCCCTAAAGGCCCAGCACCATATTATCCCACTTCATAAAGATCTGGATCTAATGAGGTGTTTAATTATTCCACATTAATTTGCTTTTTATCTGAGGTGTCGTTTGGACACCTCCAGTTAAACCAAAACAAGTCCTGCATTTTGGGCCTGTCTCGTTGGGCCCTCAGGTCATTTCAGTAGCCATTGCTACCTGTTGTAGGTGATTCATCACAAAGTCAACATCTGTTGAAAAAAACATGAATTACTTAATCCACTAGAAATGAAGAATGCAATTTCTTTTCCCTACACTGCTGTTTTGTTGGAAACTACAGGTTCTGGAACATTACCAGATATACTGCCCTTGTATGAAATTACACAGAATAGTAAATATATCCTACATCCTTTTTTTTAAAGCATCCAAGAGTACATTCTTAAGGATTGCAAACAAAAATACTTTGTTTACAAGCAATGGCATCAAAGACTTCTGTGCAATGAAAAACAAAATCAGTTTTAAAGTCTCCCAGTCATAATTGAATTTTCAGAGCTTTCACTACTTTAGAGCTTCTTTTTGTTATTCAGAATCGAATCCAAAGCACACATTTCTTAATGGTCCCTTGGTTCTGAAAGATCGGTTTTTTAATGGAGTCCAGTGCAAGGGTGTGTTTACAGGAGATCAGTTATCAGAAACATGTGAATAACTTTGGCACCTAAAAGGAGAGTTCATCTAAATCATGGAGTCCGACAAAGAAATCTCAAAATGATTGGATTGTTTTCCCATGTATTTATTGCATACCTATCCAGCTCACTCTCCAAGGATCTCAGTGTAGCTCACATATGGTTTCCAGGTGGTCTCCCACCCAGGCAGCTTACATGGCCAGACCTACTTGTCTTCAGTGACAGAACTGCTACACAGACATTTAGGATCTTTTGCTGGATGTTCATTCATTCTCTTGCAGCTTCTTTTATTCACAGTAGATGGCAGCCTATGAACACAGAAGGTTGAACATTACAAGGGAAGAGGCTACACAATGTACAAGAGTCAACTTGAAATATGGAACATATTTGGAGCATACTTGGGCTTGACTGGATAAAAAGAGAATGAATAGATAGGCTGATAAAACATATGAAATTACCAAACTACACTGTGAGCAAATAAACTAAGTATGCTTTCACTGGTATGATTATGACCATGATGAATAATACCCAGGAAGCCATAACTCATTTCTTTCCATCTTCAAGGGCTGCGAGTAGGTAGGCATCAGTTTTGTGAGATCACCTTTCACTTTTAACTTGGGGCTTGATATCCACTTCTTGGAATGAAATACAAAATGGCAACTTAAATGAAAGTTAGGTACAAAATAGAAATTTCAGCTGCAATCTCATTCACATTCACTTGTTAGCTAGAGTAGGGACATTTGAGTCATTAACTTTTGTGATAGAGATTAATAAACAAACGGTAATGGACATATCAGGGATATGTACATGCAAAAATGTACATATTCATTAAATAACATCCAAAATACATTACATCAGAAAAGTTTTGGATTTGACAAAATTGCATACACAATTCCATTTATCAAAAGAAATTCATGGACAAGTAAATATAAATTTTCATACATGTCTTTATTTTTAATGCTTAAAGTTTGGGATGAAGTGAAATTTAGATATTTAAAAATCTCAGTGTTTAGAATGAACTGAATTGATTTCTGAAAAAATGAGAAACCTTGAAAGAAATCTAAACTGCCCAATTTTTTCCCCCTTCCATTCTTTGTGAGGAAGGCCTGTTTAAATTACTTGGATTTTCTTCTGAATATACACGCAGAAATATAGTTTGGTATAAAGGCCCATATTATACAAATGACAGAGCTACCAATACAAATCTGGATCTTTTCTGTTATAGATGTAGAGTTCTGATATCAAGCCATAAAAATCTACTGTGACAGAACCAACTTCTTGCAAAGCTTATCTTAAGCTGCAGAGCTCAATCTTATGCATGTTTCCTCAGAAGTAAAACCCAGCACAGTTACTTTCTCAAGCATTATCGGGACACCAGACTTGCTTGTAAATTCTAAACTTTAATTCATTTTACACAAAGCCTACTTCTTGCAAAGCTTATCTTAAGCTGCAGAGTAGCATAGGATTGCAACAAGCACTCTCTTTCACCAGCCTTTAGCTGGGTTTGAATGCTTGGGAGATAATATAGTATTTCAGTTAGGGCTCAGTCCTGGATCCTGTGAATGGTGTTGCCAGAGGCCACACCTCCCTCCAAAGCAATGTTTCTGTGCAATGCCTTGTAGAAAGAAATCTAGCAGATAATGCTTTTTCTCAGAAAACAGATGAGGTGACCAGAAAGCTTCATCGGCTAAATGTCTGATTATCCAAAGAGCTTTTTCACAGTGCACTTTGATCCCACTTTAAATGCCACTGCTTCATCCTATGGGGCCTCATCACACTAGGGAATGAATCCACTTTAAATCCAGCTGCTGCCTCCCGTAGAATACTGGGGTTTGTAGTTTAGGGAGGAGCCTTTAATAGCCTCACTAAACTACAAATCCAGAATTCTGTGGGAGGCAGAAACCAGATTTAAAGTGGATTCATTCTCTAGTGCAGTGTTTCTCAACCTCCTAATGCCACGACACCTTGATACAGTTCCTTACCATAACATTATTTTCGTTGTTACTTCATAATGGTAATTTTGCTACTGTTATGAATTGTAATGTAAATATCAGATATGCAGGATGTATTTTCATTCACTGGACCAAATTTACCACAAATACCCAATATGCCCAAATTTGAATACTGGTGGGGTTGGAGTGATTGATTTTGTCATTTGGAATTTGGAATTGCTGGGATTTACAGTTCACCTGCAATCAAAGAGCATTCTGAACTCCACCACCAATGGAATTGAACCAAACTTGGCACACAGAACTCCCATGACCAATAGAAAATACTGGAAGAGTTTGGTGGGCATTGACCTTGAGTTTGGGAGTTGTAGTTCACCTACTTCCAGAGAGCACTGTGGATTCAAACAATGAAGGATCTGGACCAAACTTGGCATGAATACTTAATATGCCCAAATGTGAACACTGGTGGAGTTTGGGGGAAATAGACATTGACATTTTGGAGTTATAGTTGCTGAGATTTATAGTTCACCTACAATCAAAGAGTATTCTGAACCCCACCAATGATATAATCAGGCCAAACTTCCCACACAGGACTCCCATGCCTTGAATGGATTTGCTGGCGTGAGCCGCCCTCCAGCCTTCCGCACTCTCCCTCACACATACATGCGCACCACGCTGCCATGCACCAAGCACGCCTGCTCTCCCCTCCCTGCTTGGTTGAGAGGCTGGCTGAAAAGCTGACCAATTACAGCAGTGGAGGGCTTTTGGTGGGAGGATTCACCCTCTGTTTCCAAAAAAATAAGAGAAGAACAGGCTGAGAGGTCTTCAGCTTTCTCTGCCAAAGGGTTCCTAAGACCATCTAAAATATATGTTTTCTGATGGTCTTTGGCGACCCCTCTGAAACTCCCTCATGACCCCCCCCCCCCAGGGGTCTCCAGGTTGAGTTAAGCTGCTCTAGTGTGATGAAGTAGTTGGATGGGATTTTCTATGTGCCAAAAGAACTCCCACTTTGGCTACTATGCACCTTGAGATGGGACCATTTTGCTGTTCTACCTCAGGAGGCAAAATGTGTCAGGTTGACCTTGGGCAGGATAATACAGAAAACCAACCTGCCTCCTGCCTAGGGAAGACCTTTTAGTCCAAAGTAGTTAGGTCATCTGTATAACATATCCCCCTTCTCTCTCCATCTCCCTATCTCAACTTTTTGACATTTTCATTTCTGACTAAGAATCTGAGTTGAGTAATTAATCCTTAATAGTGCCAAAAGGCACAAACTCCATTTTCTTTTGTTTTCTGTGACTCAATTTTGAGCTGGCAGAATGTAGCTTCATAGATTTGGCCAGATGCAAAAAGAAAGAAACCGCACTGAACTGATTAACTTTGGGAGAGCTAGGTCAGCTTACAATAGCTGAAAATTGGGTTTCTTGCCTTCAAATAGACTGGATTGTCTAATGATAATACTTCAGTTGTTATATCTATGAAACTAGATGATTCCACAGATCTCAGACATACTTTGTATGTATAAACAATAATAGACTTTGAGATTTCTTTCCTTATCTCACCATTTCTGTTTTTCAGCTTAATGAGCAAGAGAAGGGTTGCCAAGGTACAATTATATAAAGTATACACTCTGCTGATTAGAGATCTTTTTTTTTCTTGAGTGTTCAGAAGGAGACTCTGAGTTCACGTTAAATCTTTCCCTCTCCGTCTCTAATGAGATATAGCTTATCTGACTCAGGGCACAGAAAAGATACAATTAGCTTGGGTGTGGGTAGCTACATTTTTCTTTCTTTCTAAAACATAAAATGAAGTCTTGGTTAGTATAAACTTCCTTATTTGAGTGCTGAACTTCATAATGACCAAGTTAAATGCCTTGAAGATTTTGAAGTAGGGAGACAGGGAGATAGTTACGGCTTATGAATGCAACTATAGCTAGATTTGATAGGTGAAACTTGGTATTCTCACAGACCTACTGTAGCACCTATTTCCAATTGCAAAGACACCCAGTCTTCACGGCCTGTAGCTCTCAACATTTCCAATCATTGAGCATGCTGGCTGAGGTTTCTGAGAGTTGAAGTATCTGGTGACTCAACTATGGGAATGGCCATCATAGAGAACATGAGATGCATCCAAAATGGCACTATTACAGAAGTTTTGTACCACCTTAACGGCCACAGCTATATTCTACAAAATACTAGTATTTATAGTTGGTTAAGGTATTTAGATTTCTCAGATAAAGAGCTCAGATCCAGTCCCCTGAGCTACAGTATTAATACTTCACCAACTGAAAATCCTGTTATTCCATAGAATGGCTCTAAGACAGTTTGAATGGTATCAAATTGCTATAACTTGCACAGTCTGGACTTACTCATGATTAAATTGGTTGTGCAAGGTGCATAGAGTGGAAAGAGGTATGGCCAAAAAGTATCTTCCCTACCCATCCTGTCTCTGGCATAACAAACTTAGCACAGAAAAAAATCATGAAGGGAGTGATGCCAACACAGACATGGAATGCAAGAAGCCTAAGATGACTTTACTAAGGAGGATGCAGACAGCCCTCTGAATCCATGGGGTCTGTATATATCAGTGGTTCTCAACCTGTGGGTCCCCAGATGTTTTTGGCCTTCAACTTCCAGAAATCCTAACAGCTGGCAAACTGGCTGGGATTTCTGGAAGTTGTAGGCCAAAACACATGGGGACCCACAGGTTGAGAACCACTGGTATATATGGATTCAACCATCAATGGCTTGAAAATATTTTTTTTAAAAAAAATCTCGGAAGCACATTTTGACCATGCCATTTTGTATTTAATTATGCTATTATATATAATGGGACTTGGGGATTTATTGATGTTGGTATCCACTGGGCATCCTGGAACAAAATCCCAGTGGCTACCAAGGGCTCACCATATAAGAGGCTGGATTGATTGTTTTTCCAGCTTCAACATATTTGTAAGAAAAATAATAATGAATCTGAACTTTAAACTTAAATTGGGTTAAAGCCATTTTCTAGCTATCTACCATGAGCAATGAAATGTGGGCAGGTGGCATATTTGGCTGGAAGCTTAAGATAAGTCCACACATCTTTCCTCAGAGTGGTGATGGCAGCTTCTAACCATTCTAGAAAATCTGAAGAACATAAGTATTCTTGCAACAGTGAGATGGATGAGATGGAGTTATCCATCTCAGATTATTTTTTCATACCATAACAGTTTTATATAATTGTCAATAAATTTGATGGAGTAATGAAGACAAAGTCACCATACAATTCTGGGAACATCTAAGATCCAAGAATTAGTTTTCTATTGAAGCATACCATTCCACCATCTTTTCTTTTGTGGTTCTACAATTGTCGTTGGTCAGGAAACAAAAATGGTTTCCTTGCTCAACAGTGATCCTACAGAAAACTATTTCAGTAGAGCAGTCTCAATATTCTTAGTTATTTCCAAGCCATTACCACACCAATGCATAAAATAAACACTATAACAACTCTTGGTCCAATTAGACTTCATGATGCCATTTATGTATTATAGTCTTTGGTTTTATTTTATTTATAACCTATTTTCTCCCAAAGTTGGGATTCAAGATGGCTTACAATAAAATAAAAGTAACTGCAATTAAATTTTTAATATGAAACTAAGATTTTTTAAAATGCACTACTGGAGGAAGAAAATACAGAATCCACCCTGCTAAAGCCCCTTCTATACCAAGCAAGATCATTTGCTAAAGTTCCAGGTTAAGAAGACTGTCTTTGTTTGCTGCCAGAAAGACAACAAGGAGTGAACCAGCATAGCTTCTCAGGGTGAGATGCTGCGGAGTCTGAGAGAAGCTACCAAGAAAGCATTTAATTTTTTAATGAAGAATTTCAATGCAAGGAATAGCAAGACAGCAGAATGGAAGTTAGTCGTCTGCCCCTATACTAACTGTGCAGGAGAGAATAATTTGGGAATTAGAGGGGTTTCCTTCACATGATTACTATTGATTGGCAACTCCAACAGCCTGGTTCTTTGTTTTTACGTTTTATGAGACTAAACCACACTTCTGTTGTAAGTCCTTCCAAAAGAAGATGTGTTCAGACTTAGGGCTGTCCTTTCAAACACAGGATTGTTTTGTTTTGTTTTTGTGTGTCAGGACCGACTTGAGAAACTTGAGAGCCCTCGGTGGTGCAATGGGTTAAACCCTTATGCCAGCAGGACTGCTGACCTGCAGGACTGCTGACCTACAGGTCAGTAGTTCAAATCCGGGGAGAGTGGGGTGAGCTTCCTCTGTCAGTTCCAGCTCCCCATGCGGGGACATGAGAGTAGCCTCCCACAAGGAAGGTTAAAACATCAAACATCTTGGCGTACCCTGGGCAATGTCCTTGCAGACGGCCAATTCTCTCACACCAGAAGTGATTGTTTTGGTAAAAACAGGACAAATTACCACCTTACTTCATTGCTGAACAGCCAGAAGGAAAGGAAAGAGTCGACAGAAATCTTGAGGCAATAAGCAGGAAATCAAAGTGAAGAAAATACACTATATACATTCAGCCGAGAAACATACTTCCACTAAGATTTAACAAACTGCTAGTGTTCCTAGAAAAATACTGTCCTGGTAGAGCTATTTATTCAACACCCACCACTAATGGTTTTGCAAGGAGAGTTCATTTCCACATATGACAAAAAACCTGACTTTTCAATGGATCACAGCATGAATATAATGAAATACTGTCTTTGACTCCAGGGATCACAAGATTGATAACAGTTAATATCCCAAAGTGGAGGCATTAAAAAAACCCAAAAGAGCTCCTGAGTAAGATTGGTAGGTAGAAACTGCAAATAGACACATTTTTTTCCATATAGCTCCGTGAAGTGCTTTGGTTGTTTGTTTTTACAACAGCAGCAGGTGCATGCAGGTAAATAACATGCACTATTTAGAAAGTAGAAAAGTGTATCACTGTATATGCTCTGCTGAGGTTTCGGTCCTTGATTTGTATGGCTATAATCAGTGCCGGATATATGCACAAGATAAGCAAACTTTATTTTAGGGCCTCAAATTTGAGGTGCCTTCCAATTAATAATTAAGCCACGCCAAATCTGTTTGAATTAGATGTGTGGGGGTGACCTCCATTGCTTGACCATTCCTTCCAAAGTTGGCTTGAATGCAACCCATGAAATTGAAATATTTCACCAATATTTCAAACACTTCAAGAGTTCAGCAGCTACAGCACACTGCTTCACTTTCAACAGTAGTCTGTTGGAACTCAAAAGAATTACTCATACATAATTACTCACACATAAACTCCCTTGGAATCAATGTGGTTTTCCTTCACATGACTGAAGACAGACTTTTGCCTGTAAATGTGGCTATAACTTTATTAACTTTTTAAATTGTTTTTACAGGTATAACTTTATTGAGTTTTAAAAATTAATTTATTAATGCCAGTTTATGAAGGTAGAATTTTGTATCTCAAAGCTAAGCATGTTTACTCAGAAATAAGACCTTTTAATTGAAGCAGGACTTACTTCCAAGCCATGCGTGTAGGACTGTAGGCTTCATCATCGAGTTGTGTCCATGTAAGAAAGGAGAATAATGTGATACTCATTCTGTTAAAGAAAGAAATACATATGATCTAAGTATCACCACAAATTGTAATAAGTTAGTGTTTTTAATTGCTTTCTTAATTGATTAAACCAACTTTTCATGGAGTGAAAACCTTAAATTGGTTGGATGAAGGGGAATGATTCTGAGTATGTGGGAAAATGGAAAATATTCCTCAAGAGGATTCTTCCAAAGCCAGCTGCCCCAATATGATAGTCCATCAGGGAATCTTAATGATATCATATATGGCAAACCAGGGCCACAACTCCTTCCATATTTCAGTATCACATAATTGTTTCAGAAATACTGGAGACGAGTTTAAAGTTTAGGGATTGGTTATAAGCCAAGGTCACGGAACATAAATTTGGTCCCTGGGATATTGTAAAAAAGCTTGGCTATTGAGCAATTGAGTAATGAAACACATTATATATGCTGGAGTTGAAGGCAATTACACACGCATCTAGAGGACAACCTTTAGTGGCCTCTTTCCTTCCATTCCCATCTTTAAGCTGTATTTATATATATGTTATATGTGTGTCACTAAGCACACACGTTCCAGATTACATGCCAGATTAAATTGGTCATCTGTTTAAAAGCAAGGATCACACTAATAACTTGATCTCTCTTTGGTAAGAAAACGTGGATTTCTTTTTCATTAAGAAAAGAGATACAGTTACTGCACATTTTCTAAACATTCAGAGTCAAGCCTGTCCAAACTACTTGGACCATCTTTATAATGCAGGTTTTGCATTCCACAATTTGCTCTTTATTCTCATTCTGAATAATCTATTTGTGGTCTTTTAAAAATAATTAACCAGTACAGTACAAAACACTGAAAAGCCCTTATACTAGAAAGTGTTAAACATTCATTTATAGTCTTAAATGTTTGCACTCAGTCCCGAGTTTGGGGACCTTTTCTGGGAACTGTTTAAATTAATCTTTTAGAATATCTCTTATACCCAAAAGATCTATTAGCTAGTAGGATAAATAACTTTCATGTCGAGGGGACTGGTGGTGTTGTGTTCACATTTTACAGCACAAAATCAGCTTCATGCATGCCTAAACTGGCCATAATATGAAGTATACTTTCCCTCTAAAATCCAAATATTTTCAAGGCTTGCAGTCCAGTTGTACAAGGGGAATATGTGCACAAACCTATGATTATGCTTTACAATTATGTGTATATTTTGAAAATATACCTAAACAGGCTTTAGTCAATGAAAAAAAACTTTTACAGAAGTCCAAACTGCTTTTTGTTGTACTGCTCTTTTTACTGAGATCTTTGTAAACATTTTATAAACCCAATTTTAGAAAGTTTACTAGGGATATCTGTAAGGTTTATGTTTATCTTTTGGCTGACCAACACTCCAAAATTACTGGTAAAGTTGCTAGCTTCTGTGTAGCAGCAATAGCCTGTCGGCTCAAGATGCTGTTGCAGATGCTGCTGGAAGGACAGCAGGGAGGGGGCCATTCTGACTTCCCTGGGTAGGGAGTTCCAGAGTCGTGGAGCAGCCACCGAGAAGGCCTGCTCTCTCATTCTCACCAACCCGGCTTGAGATGGAGGTGGGACTGAGAGAAGGGCCTCTCTTGAAGATCTCAGGGCACGGGCAGGTTCATGCAAAGGGATGCGGTCAGCCAAATAGTCTGGACTTGAACCTGAACCACCTGCTGCATCACACTGTTGACTCATGTAGTCCACTAAGACTTAGATCTCTTTCATATGAACTGTTGTCATAAAGGTGCCACATATCCTATTTCTGTATATTTTTTCTGCAAAGGTGTATCTTACATTTCTTCCAGTTCTAATTCCTTTTAGTATATCTGACTTAGCTCTCCTATCTGTTAAGGTCATTTAAAATTCTGATCCTGTTCTTTGGGATATTACCTCCCCCCCTAATTTAGTGTTATTTTCACATTTGATAAGCATACCCCCTTTTCCATCTTACAAGACATCTATACAAATGTGGGATAGCACTGGGCCCAGGACAGAACCTTGTGGTGCCCTATATGTCCCTCAGAGATGAAGAGGAGCCATTGGTGAACATCTTTTGGGATTAGTCAGTCCATGAATTAAAAATCCATCTAACAGTAGTGTTGTTTTACTAACTTGTTTGCAAGAATATAATGAAGGACCTCATTGGCCTTGTTGAATTCAAGTTATGCTACATCCACAGCATTCCCTTGATCTATCAAGCTCATTGCTCTATCAAAAAGAAGAGATATTATGACTTGTTTTTGAAACACTGGTGTTAAATGAACATAGTATTTGCTTCTGATTACTTACAAATTCCCAGTTTAATTATCTGCCATAGAGTATTTGTTGCAATTGATGTTCAGCTAACTGGAAGTGTTCTCCTTTTGAAGATGGAGATAATGTTTGTCCTTCTCCACTCTTCTGAGATTTTGCCTGTTCTTCGGGAATTCTCACTATTATTGTCAGCGGTTCTAAGATTATTTCTGTTCAGTCCTTGAAGGTCTTTCATGTGACTCTTTCAACTTGAATTCATTTAGAGTAGCCAGTTATTCCTGTACTACCTTTTTACATATTCTTTGCTGCATTTCTCCTACTGCATCATCTACTGACTAGGATCAGATCTAAAATAGCTGATCATATTGTTGCTTCTCCTACCTTCTGGACAAGGAAATCAAGTGCAAGGCAATTGAGGAATTTGTTAATGCCCTCAATTTACCTCTTAGAATTTAAGACATGGCTCTCTTTACACCTCTAAGTATCTCCTTCTTTCTTGTTTGGTCTATTTCTTTGAAATAGACTAGGGTGAAAAACTCATCATGAGTTAGGGTATATGTCTCCCAACTACTGTGAGATGCAATCCAATCACTTGCCAGAGGTATATCTTCATGGAACTGCAGACAATAGTCAAAGAAGCCAAACTTGTTCCTAACAGCATCTTCTTCAAAGTCAGTTGTTCATTCCACTGTTTTTCTCTCCCTTCCTGGACTGTGTCATTCAACTGGGAGGAGAGACAAAAATGACAAACGATGTTTTAAAACATTTTTTGGAATCCTTTAAAATACTTTTCATTTCTAAGGTTTCACTTAATTCAGTGTAAGAAACCAATCATGACTAAGGATGCATCTACACTGTAAATTAATGCAGTTTGACACCACTTTAACTGCTATGGCTCAATAGTACAGAGTCATGGGAATTGTTTAGTGAAGCACCAGCATTCATAGTCAGAGAAGGCTAAAGACCTTGTAAAACTATGACATGCATAATTCTTCCCAGTGGACAAAGGCAAAAGCAAATTGCTGCAGTCTCCCTGAGCTTGTCTGTTTTTCCTCATTAATAACTTTTGACATCTTGCATTTGTGAAGCATTGGAGGCTACAAACCTGCTATTCCTGAAGTCCTGTAGGAGAAGCAATTCACCTTTATTGTTGGGAAAAGATGCATTCTGGATGGGTCAAGGGCCATGAAAATAGCTCATTTGTTCATTTCTGCATAAAAACACAATTACAAAACAATTTGAACAGTAAAACCCATTAAAATAAATTATTAAAGCATTTTGAAACACTAATTTGGTGTCTCTATCACATAAAAGCACCCAGAGTGAGAATGAGTTGCAACATCCATTCCCTCACAGCAAAAGATTAGAAAGCCTTCTCCTGAATCCCTCTTCAGAAGATCTTGATAGGTTTCTAACAAGACAAGAGATCCTTTAAATAGACAGACTTTTAGGGCATGGAACAATGCTTTGTGATACATATGTGGGGAAAGGAAGCATAGCACATTTCTATGATGACCATTGGTAACCCATTTGAAATAGCATTATGGCCATCTTATCTCTTGTTAACAATGGTAATATATCTCAATTATATCTTTGTTACTTGAAAAAAGGAATTAATTACAAGTAACCATATGTACTTGAGGTGAGTTTGAAACTGACTGTTCATTTACAGCACATGTTCTACACATTTTCCGATCCATTAATTTCTCCATATTGTATCATTCACTCTGGAAACTGTACATAGGGTCTCTGTCAGGAAGGTTAGTGGAGGGACAATCTGGTTTAGTAATCTGCCTTCCTCTTGCCTTCATTCCATAATTCAAATGCAAAATCAGATAAATTTATGGAAACTTTGCAACTCAGCACAGTCCTGAGGAAAACCTAGAGGGATGGCTTAACTAGATGCTTGGCCTTTTAAGGGGACTACAAAGGAAGATCTGATCTATCATCAATAGGAATTAATGTAGGAATAAGCCCTGATTTCTCAGCTCAATAAAACATTCAAACATTAAAGAAGTGGGACTAATTTCTTTCCTCGACCATTAGAATCCCTTGTACTGTGAAAAGCGCCCAGCTGCTCCCTCCAATCAGCACAAACAGAGTACAGCAAACAGCTCCCATTTGACTGTACTCCAGTTGCCTTTTCCACCCTTCTCAGGAGAAGTGGGGGGGGGGGAGGGTCTTACTGGGAAGGTTCTGCTATTGCAGTTAGGCTTGTGCATTTGTATAGAATTGCTATATGTTTCTGTTTGTTTCCTTCATAAGACCCCCATTTTCATTTTTGAGCACCTCCCAAAATTGGCACCTTTCCAAATTGACATTTTTGTTCTGTGTCCGAAAATACGAAAATGTTGACCCATTGGTTGCTATGGGCGGGCTTCCCCAGGCTCCCCTTCCCCTCAGGTATAGGGCTAGAGGGGTGAAAATCACCACACATGGAGGACACATCAACCACTTTTAGCCAGCTAAGTTTTATAATGTTTGGGTCATCCCCCAATTTTTAGGCATTTTTTTTCTTACTATAAGTAAAATCTTAAAAACATTCCTCCTTCTTCATCTGCCCACTGACCCTGCCTTCTAACTTCTCCAGGAGAAGCAACAGGAGGTACCTGCTCCTGCTTTCTTTCGTTTTGAGCTAATTTTCATTCGGGGGGGGGGGGGTCCTGTTATGTGCTCCTGCCTGGAATGAAAGAACGAATGAAATGGGAGAAACGGGTACCATGCACACCTCTAATTGCAATTGCCAAACTGGTCTTGGTGCCCCCCCTTTTTTTGCTTATATATTCCCCAGATATTCTGCTTCTATGTGTTCCCAATTTGCTCTCATTTAGATGCAGAATACACAGCAACTGATAGCATTCACAAGACTGTAATGATCTTGAAATAGTCTAGAAATTATGAGCATGTCTAGACTGACAATTTTTACAGCATGGTATTTACATCATGCATGTTGCAAATGCGTGCTGCAGTGCAATTTACAGCTTTAAAATGAAGACTCTTCCACACAGACATATAACTCAGAATATCAAAACAGATAATCCACAATATCTGCTTTGAACTGGGCTATCTTAGTCCATAGTGCCATGTAATCCAGTTCAATGTGGATATTATACAGCTGTGTAGAAGGGGCCTGAGATAACCAAAGTTGGGAAATAGTCCAAAATAAAGCCCAGTGCACTGTATTGTAAATTGAGATTAAGAGACAGGGTGCTCCAGCAGTCTGCACATACACATTATGGAATAGGGAGTTGGAAAAAAACTTGTAATCTCTATGTTTGTCAAGCTCTAGATATGATGGATCCTTGAACCAGGCCAGGCTCTGTAGTACGCTGAAGCACCACCCAGGTCTCAAAACAGAGTCAACCAGGAGCTGCAGATATCAAGCATGGAAACGAGATCTTAAAATGTACTTAGAAATGTATTAACCTTTCATGAAATTTGTGTCCATCATTGCCATCTGTAGTGGTATGGTTTGACGTCCCTTTGACTGGCATACAAAAGGAAAGTTCCATGCAGTGCAGATTGCTATTAAAGTAAACAATGTTTTACCAGTAAATGTAAAAGATTGTAAATTCAACATAAATAGAGCTGTCATCTGTTATCTTTTGCCTGCAATATCTACATATGTGGGATATTCTGCATACACATGCAGAGTTATGTTTAGCTGTAGGTGTAGATGTACTTACTACATGATAGTGCATTAAATATATTGTGTATGGAAAGAGATGAGTTGTTTAGTCCACCTAGCTACAGGCATGGGCAAACTTTTTTGCATTGGGGTGTTATTGTGGGCTGGGCCTGGAGGGCCGGACCAGGAGGGAGGGGGTGGGCGAACGCTATGTGGGGTGGGTCCAGGAGAGAGAGGGCCCAGGAGAGGGCATGGCCAGGAGTGGGCAGAGCAGGGCCTGGGTCATCCTTAGGTTGTCCTCCCAGCATAAGCACAGCACTGCTCGCCCCATCCTTATGCTGAGAGAAAGGCAAGACATGCAGCGACTGCCACAATCCTCCCTCCTGATCCCCTCTCAATTCTTCCCTGATCCTTGGGTTGTCCTTTTGGCATTATCCCAGGAGGAGGGTGGAACAGGCAGTGCTGAGAGTGCGTCAGAGGGCTCTCAGCTGCACTGTACCTTCCTCAAGCCATCCTTCTGGCATAACAATGGGGCTACTCATGCCATCCTTATGCTGGGAGCAGGGTGAGATTTGCGGTGGCTAAGAGCGCTCCAGAGGGCTCTCAGCTAATGTGTGCCTTTCTCCCTTGTCTTTTTTGGCATAAGGATGCAGCAGGCATCCTTAAGCCAAGCGGACAAGGAAAATGAGGAGGGCCCAAGGTAATTGTCCGGGAGCCACATGCAGTCCCAAGGCCTTAATTTGCCCATACCTGGTACATAGTAGACTCAACATATAATATGGTATTAAAATATCCAGCACAACACAACCCCCCTATCTACAGAGGAGTTCCTGGACTTAAAGTGGTAATAGGGAACTGTCTTCAGATGAAAGACTTCTGGCATTCCATAGACTCACACTGAAGGACCAAGAAAATGCCTAGAGAACACATTATGCTAATATTTCTAGATCCTCCAGCATGGGTTTATGTCCAATGGTTCTCCAGAATCTTGCTGGAGAACCTAGACAATGCCTAGAAAGAACTAATGTTTTCAGATCTTCCAGTGCAACTCTATAGTCACTTTTTGCTAAAAGCACACCATCAAATTGCATTGGATAATCTGGAAAATGCCCAGAGAGGACATGTTTTCCCAGACAAGGGCAAGTGAAATTGTGAATACTGGTTCTACGGATATGAGAGTCAGAAAAACAAGAAAAATACAAACAGTATATCCATAACATAGAGTCAAACCACCCAAGAGCTATATATTATGAAAACAATAAACTAAATAGAGTAATGCCATTTTTAAAAAATGCAATTTTCGAATGCCTGGGAGTAGAAGAATGGCTTTATCTGGCACTAAAAGAATGACAACATTAGGATCAGGCATATCTGCAGCACTCCCTAACTGTACAGCTTGAGAATGTTTTGAGAAAGAGCTTCCCTGTGGGAATGAAAGGCATATTTCAGCCTAAACCACTTATATTTGGCAAGTTATTTTGGAGTATTTATTTATTTATTCCATTTCTATACCACTCTTCTCACCCCTGGGAGGACTCAGAGAGGTGTACAACATGGCAAAATGGCAAAAATGCAATACCTAACATACATATAAAAGCAATACATAACTAAATTAATAACATATAAATATGAATTAAATATGAATTTATTCATATTATTTTAGAGTAGTCTCTGTATCTTAAAATTTGGATTATATCTCTAGTTCTCTAGGCTGGCGTCCTTTATTCTCAAGGAATTCAAGGAATCCAGAGAAAACAAGTAGAGTTACTTCTGTGGGTATGTGTATAAATTTATGCTATCAGTTGCTACTGTCCTCCCAATGTATTGATAGTTTACTATAAAAATTATGCCAGCATAGCCTAAACTATTTATTCTGTGCTCTACAATGCTTCAGTATGGAATACATTCTGTGTTATTTTCAAATGTGTTAATAATGAAAGAAAGAAAGAAAGAAAGAAAGAAAGAAAGAAAGAAAGAAAGAAAGAAAGAAACTCTGCAATATAAATTGGACACAGGAGGACAGCTGTAGACTGAACAGGAAGTGCTGGCCCAAGGCTAAATGAAACAGCTGTTGCCATTGTTCTGGATAGAAAGTGCCTTTGCAAATTCCATCCAGTCCTGGATCAGAAAGCAGATGTTAGTAATTACAGCACATGAAAAGAAGGGCACAGGATCAGGCAAGTGACGAAAAAGCAAGGGGACCCATAGATTTATAACTCACTGCTTGCAGAACCAGCACCTACCAAGAAGGGTGTAACAAGTGTCAGCATTTATCTCCCCTTCTTCCTGTAAAGTTCACACCAGGGGTGTCATCACTCATTGTCTCCCCGTGTTCTGCATGCAAGCCAATAACCAACCCAACTGAGCACTGTGAGAAGGTGAAAGAACTTGGTCATTTGTCATGACAAGACTGACTGTATCCCACTTCCCCATAAATAAAAATAGCCCTTCTCCTAACACCTTCTCAGAGTATTTGACTACATGAGTATGGGAATATCCAATTTGGAGAAGCTAGGAATGCATGAAAATGTTCAGATGTGTCTAATAAATCTGACTTTTAAGAAAAAGAACTGGTTGGTATG